GCACAGAAACGCCATTTCTTGACAAAGTGACAAGTAAGTTTTTTTGGAATTAACACTATCATAGAATCATAGAATGGCTTGGGCTGGAAGGGACCTTAAATATCATCTAACTCCAGCCCCCCTGCCATGGGCAGGGATGCCGCCCACTAGACAAGGTTACTCAGGGGCAGGGCATCCACAGCCTCTCTGGGCAACCTGTTCCTGTGCCTCCCTCGACCTGCTGGCTACACGTCTTCTGATGCAGCCCAGGATATGGTTGGCTTTCTGGGCTGCAAGTGCACATTGCTGGCTCATGTCCAGCTTTGCATCCACCAGGACCCACAAGTCCTTCTCTGCGTGGCTGCTCTCAATGAGTTCTTCTCTCAGTCTGTACTCGTGTCTGGGATTGCCTCAGATGTGCAGGTGCAGGACCTTACACTTGGACTTGTTGAATCTCATTCAGTTCATATGGGCCCACTTCTCCAGCTTGTCCAGGTCCTCCTGGATGGCATCTCGTCCTTCAGGTGTGTCACCTGCACCACTCAGCTTTGTGTCATCCGCAAACTTGCTGAGGGTGCAGTCTATCCCACTATGTCATTGATAAAAATATTGAAAAGCACTGGTCCCAAGATAGAGCCCTGAGGGACACCACTCGTCACCAGTCTCCACCTGGACATAGAGCCATTGACGGCATCTCTCTGAATAAGAAATCATCTGGATGGACGCATCCATCGAATAGTCCACCCTTCAAATCCATATCTTTCTAATTTAGAAATAAGGATGTTGTGTGGGACTGTGTCAAAGGCTTTACAGAAGTCTAGGTAGATGACATCGATCGGTCTTCCCTTGTCAACTGTTGCAATATCCCTCCGTGCACCCAAATCCTAACAGTCTTTCCAACTTAAGATGTCAGAGAGTTTAAAAAAAAATCCAAATCTTATTTCTGTTCTTATAATGACTGTAATCTTTGCTGTTCTGTTTGAGGAGCATGAAAATCACTTGGTCTGCCTCATGTAAGTGAGGCCTTTTAACCTTTCTGTAAGTTAGAATACTGCACCATTTGCAGAAATAGCCAACTATAAAACTGACTTGCAAAGTGTGTGCAATGGTATTAATAAAAGAAATTGTACAAATAATTGAAATTATTTTTCAAGGAAAATATGTGGCTATCGATATATGAGGACGAAAGCAAGAAAAAGTAGAGAATTGTTTACCACTTTCACCTGAAATCCACACCAAGAACACAGAGCCTGCTCAGGGAAAACATCCACTTCTACCTAATCTAGAAATCCCAACCTCCATCAGAATCTAATTAATTTGGATGTGCCTGTTTAGCGAAGGATACTACACTTTCTGAACACAGAATATGCATAAAATGATTTAAATGAAATAGCTAGTGAAAATAAACACTCCAAACCTTCCCATCAGAAGATGTTTTTCTGTGTGTGTTATCAAAACATTTAGATGAGATTCTTTTCTCATTTATGCTGTCATAAATCAAGGACAGCTTCACTAAACTCAGGACAGTGAATAAACCTAAAATTTAAGGTATCACCTTCTTCTAAAACATGTATTGAGGACTATTTTGAGGCAGACCAGTAGCACGTTATGTGATTTAACATATATTGCACTTGAAATGCACAGTTATTGATTAACAATTTATAGCACACGTTCCATAAATTAAACCTTAAAAAGACACTGTTTTTATTACAGGTACTAACATACCTAAAAGGAAGTAAATATATACACAGTGCCTGCCAATAGGAAGAAAAAGTATTTTACTAGAATTAAGAGATGCTTGTATAAGGAGTAAAAACTATGTCTGCGATAGATGCCTGTTTAGCATTTGTGTAAAAGTCTCTCTTCAAAGACAGGGGAATCAGAGCTACTGATTTACCTCATCTAATAAAAAAAGTGGTGTAGAACAGTTGCTTAGTTCCAGCTGACCTTGAATGTAATTGGCTACCTTGGATGTCTCTATGGTATATGCCATTAAGAAGATAAAAATATACAGGATTAAAATCTTAACCGATAAAGCTAAGAAATTAAGTATTACTCCTTTAATAAGCCTACTTTATGAAAGTACGTGAATACCAAAATATCTCCTTGCTGATTGCTGCTGAAGTGTGAATAAGCTTAAAAATAAGTTATCAAAAAGTAAAAGTATCTAATATTTTATTTTCCCCTTCTTACCTGTTTAAAAACTATGAATAAAGAATTCAAAGCAAGTATTTTTACTCCATGACACTGTACTCCATCCAAAAGCACTTGCACACCACCACATTCTCCAACTTTTTATATATGCTTAGTCTAGACTGATAGATCGTTTTGTATCTTAAGATGAGGATGGAGGCATATTTTTTCTATTATATTTTTTTCAGTGCAACAGGTTTTTTTTCCATACTTCTGTACTACTTAAGAGTTTAAAAGTGTATGCAATTGTAAGAACACTGTTTTACAAGGTCAGGGTAGATTATTACAGAGTTGAGATTGTTCCACTGTAGTGCAAAACAAGAGCTACAAAAAAAACCCAAAACACAACATTTTAAGTCACAAAACCGATTAGCGAAGACAAAAAGGTCTGTCAGTTAAAAAGCCAGGGCAAAGGCAGAGACCATTTCTGCCTGTCATGAATAAAACCATAAATAACATGGGATTGTGATAAACTGTGGGGGAAAAAAGAGCTGAGGAAAGACTTTTTCTTAAATTTAAAAAAAACAAATATGCAGAGCTCAAAATAAACAAAGTCTTTTTTTCCCCTGGGTATGAAAGTAGTTTTTGTTAGACTGCTACTTGAATTTAGGAAGTACTTAGTCAGCACATGTTTGGAACTGTAAAAAACAATGATAAAAACTGAAGGCAAGATGATGATTTAAGAAGTATACATTATAAAATCATATATGCATGACAAAAAAAAAAACCTCAAGAAACACTATAAAATCATATATGCATGACAAAAAAAAAAAAATCAAGAAACACTAGATTATATACATGTGTTGCCATGCTACCACAACTGATCTTGTTTCCTTCCTTGATACACTCACAGATACAGGCCGTTACAACCACAATGCAATTTTGTGCTAACTATTGTAGTAAACATCATGAAGGAATTAAGACACATCAATCATCCTTCTTGTATTTAAACAGAAGTTTAGGGACAGTACACAGCAACAAGTCTACAACTTGAATTTGGTTTAAAACTCCTCCATGGAAAGGGTTGAGAATTACGGAGTAATACATTTAGAAAACCAAATCAGTGTAACTGTAAGTGGTAAGTTTCAGCTCTAAGGCTTGTCAACTTTCTTAGCCTCCATCCTATCACAACAGTTAGATTATTACATTATATTGTATCTTTACAGCTTTCAGCTATAACCAAGCGTTTCACACTAAAGTTGTTCCAGTTACAAACAACTGCTGGGGGTTGCAGAATTAGGATGCATTTTAGGATCACTGCTGTCTCAAAAAATTTGTATCTAGCCTTAATAAAAACCAAAAGCTATGAAATCTGATTCATTATCAAATAATCCACGTAATAGATTTGTTTAAAACTCCATCCTATACTTTAAATGCCTACAATTGACTTTTTGTTTCATTTCCTCTGAAGAAATGTAAAGGTATGTTCTACACATAAAGGAAAACATGGTGAAATACCATGCATTAATGTATAAAGAGTAGACCTTAATGAAGATTTCAAGTAACAGCTGTCTTATATTCCTTCCCTTCTTTATGATCCTAATATCCATTTAAAAATCTTGACTCAAGTATTTCCCAAAGAAATCAAGTACAAGTCTAATGGCTTATAGGTACTGCAGCTGTATCTGAAACAAAAAAGCAATAGCATTAACAAGCAACCTGACTTAAATATTAGACAAGTTTATTCTTACATTGAAACGAAACACACAAAGTTAGGGGACTAGATGGGAGAAAAAAACATTAAAACCAACAGGTAAATTGGAAATGTCATTGTCTTTCACCTTAGTGAGGTAAGGCATTTTTAGTAAATAATACTGCTAATGAAAACCCTCCTTAATAAATTTAACATCATCCTTCAGCTTCCTCTACTGTATATCACTTCAAATTTCAGCTCTGCTGCAAGTCAACCTCCTTGACATCCATTTTCACTGTTGTATTTTCAACAATGGTTTCTGACATTTCTACTAGTTTTGTAGCTGGCATCTTTTTGGATCTCCTCCTGCCTCTTGACATTTCTTATCATTTCCTCCCTAAATCTTCCTCAGAATCACAAATGCTTCTGTTTCTCAAAATACCAGTGAAGCAGTCTCTTTTGCTCAACTATCAATTCACAGCAGCATACTGGGAAGCGGAAAGACAGTAGTAGGGCTGAAGAGCAGACAGAAGCAGCAAAGCTTGCTTTAAATAAAAAAATAAATAAAAGCTGAAGAGCTCAGGTCACCACACTTTAGCGGCCTGCCATCACACGGTTTCTTCTCCTCCCATGTTAGATATCCACATGGTTTCAAACCTCTTATTCTCTCTCTGCTCCTTGATTTGCTATCAGAGATTCTGATAACAAGTAATGAGGGAAAAAATTTTGTGATGTCTCGGGAAAATTCTAAATCCTGATGAAAAAGGATCTTTTCCTACTCTCACCTAGCATATTCCAAACATATATCCAGGAAATAGTTAATCCAGGTTTTAAAATATTCTTATGATCTCTATCAAAAATCAAAGTATTCCTGTATTTCTTCCTTCATTTTTCCTATAGTCTGCAAACACCTCATGATAGCTAGAACTGCTGTCTCTTATGTATCATTTAAAATCCAGACACTTCACAGATTACAGATACTGGTGTACACTGCCTAGTCCCAAAAGCAGAAAAGGGAAGTTATACCTTGAAGTTTCATTTTGAAAGTGTTTTCTGAGTACCCTAAAATTCCAGTGGACTGAGTAGCATGTGTGCATTTACTCCTATAATTTTATTTGCACAAGAACTGCAAGATTTGGCTTATTTACCAAAAGGTCAATTTCAGGTGCCTATTTCAGAAAGATAATCATCTTACCTTTACAGTTTCACTTAAGACTTGGGTTTTATCTGCTTCTTCACTGGAGTGCAATTCTAGTTTATTATTTAACTCTTGTAGCTGTTGTGCCTGTTCATTCAAAAGCACTTGTGCCTGATGCTCCCGATGTAATGCATTATTCAATTCTTCACATGCACTTTCAAACCTCTCATGGGTGATCAATTTCTGATAAGGGAAATAAAATGTGTTTGATTGTGTAACTCTATTCACTTGTTTACATGCTTGACTTTCAGAGTTGCACTTGCAAACATATCAAATGCTAGAATAAAAGCGTGCTAAAGATGAATATTTAGGTTTTTTAACATGAAGACAGATCACTGAAAAATAGAATGGCAGACAACTTTATTCACTGTGTTTTTTCAAAAAAGCATTCAGGGTACTGTAAACAGTATGCATTCATTATTTTATTCAAATTAGCACCCCAGGTTGTGAAGAATCAATATTTAAAAGGAAACACGCAGATCAATGTCCCACATTTCAATGCATATCTTACTAACCCTTGTAAATGTCTTCCTGGACTCTTTCTGCCCTCCCCAAAATGTTCCAGAAAGAAGAAATAATTCTTCAGGGAAAATCATGATCTACATTTGAACAACAATCTAAAATGTGACAATTTCATTAACTGTCCCAGAACTGTAAGAGAATAAATCCCATTAAGAACAAAACTCAAGATTATTAGATACAACCTTGTCCATTTGAGTAAAAAAAAATCCAGGAAGGAGAATGGATGGCAAATCATCTATTAAATATTCTCTGCTTGGAAGTGTTTTGATTGGGACACACTGACAGGTCTACCAGCTAGGCCTCAGGATCAACACTGGGTACAGCTACATAAAATGCTGCTTATTCTGGGACACAACTAATTAGGTTATACTGTGCACCTGTGAAGCACATATAAGAATCCTTATCCATTCACTTTCTCAGATATCTCAAGTGTGAGCTCAATTCTGAATGCAACCTACGGAAAATAAGCATAGGAGGAAAGGTGCCCAGTGAGCCTCCAGTATGCTGTAAAATATCTATCATAACACTCAGCAATATCCACGCAGAGTTTAAAATACCACATTTATGCTTTATGAACATCTGATTAACACACTTATTGGATACCCTCCTTCCAGCTGACTTTAATCTGTTGAAGTGAAACCTATAAATCCTTTTAGGGTATATAAATCACACCAACATTTTCAACATATGGAAGAAAACGTGGGTTGCTGAAGACCAAACATGTAATTACACAGAATACCTCATTCTACAAATCAAAGAGAAACTCCTGTGGAAAGGAGATACTTCTGAATACATCTGACTTACAGTTTAGTGATATCTACAAGGCAAGTTTTCTGGAAAATTCTGTTAATAGTAGATTGATTTTATACTTGTTTTTCAAAAGAACACAAATCAAAAAAATGTGTAATGAGGAGGATCTCTTGTAAGCAGTCTCCTCTAAATCAAATATACTTACAGATTGCTTAAACATATTTAATTGCTCCTGCAGGCTCTGAGCTTTGTCAGCTTCTTTTTTCATCTCACTGAAATTCCATCTGAATTCTGCAAGTTTTAGGCGCAGTGAGCGGCGTTCCACCTCTGCTGTATGAAGTCTTTGTGTAAATTCAAATATTTGCTTCTGCAAGGATGCTATGCTTTTCTGTTAGCAAACAGGAACAAATTCATGCACTATAAAATGTGCTATTTTAGCAATAAAATCAATCACATTTAATAATCAAGCAAATGAGATAAAGCTGTCATTTCATCCTCCATCTCTAAAAGACACAGACAAATGCAAAACTGTGAACGTGTTTCACCTACTGTTGAGGGTTACTGAAAATTCTGTTTTCAAGGAAGTAACTGTTTTCACGTAAGGGCCACAACAGATGACAGACTACGTGAGAAAGAGTTTATCCTTTCATTTCAGTTAAAGGGAGGAAGGTTATCTTTTCTGAAAGATAGAACACTAAGCAGAAGGGGGGGGGACCCCACAACCTTAACATTTAGTTAAAGCAAAAAGCAAGTTTGCTTTTATAAAGCAAATACGATTTTGATAGAACTTCAAAAAAATCTTTTTCTTGGATACATCAAATCTCTTCTTAAAATTCTTTGACAATAAAAGAGAAGATCTATTCACACCCTAATGCTTCTAGGTGTTGCAAATCAACTTCTGATTCTCCATATAGTTGACTTCAATGTAATAGACTCATAAACAATCTGAAACAAAATTAATAGTACTATCAGCAGAACTTTACTGTAACACTTATGCTGTGAACCTACTGTTTACATGAAGTAGCACTATAAATAAGTATACCGTAATGGGTAGTCTGTCACACAATCCAGCTTCCAGGGCCTGGGTATTTATTTTATGAAGCCCATGAGCCAGCCTCTGTACCAAGGAGTCTTTCTCCAGATAAGTAATGCTCCTGCTGCTGTCCAGAGGAACAGTCTCCATTATTACATTCAGATTGTCCATAAGTTTTGAAAAGGAGTTCCTGGCTGCACTTAGAAGTAAGTGTCCAGAAAGCCAGGGCTTTGGATCTTTAAGAAACAACAACAAAAAAGAAACATCAAGTAAGTTATTAGTTTCATTTTTTTCAGTGGAAAAAAGCAACAACAACAACTAGCATCTTTAAAATACTCAGTAGGAAATTTCCATTAAAGAGTAGAAGATTGAGCTCACAGGAATATGTCAGAGAGACTTTGGGATGAATTTTGTATTTAGCAATGAACACCCTAATCCTATGAATCTGTGGATGAAAGGGTAGGATAGTATTCTATGGAACAGGATTTGTTTGTCAAAGAATAATTTTCCAGTTGTTTTTATGCTCTCCTCCAATACTATACCTTCTTAAGTCTTTCTTGGACGTTCTAATTTTGTAATTCAGAAAACATGTAAGACGGATGCAAGCAAATGCAAGCCAGGCCAAGTATGTCAGATATGATAGCACATGGTAAATCACTTTATCGCAATATTTACTATGAAAATTTCTGAGGGTTTCCTGACTCTTTTTCCCTCCCCTCTATAGATGTCTAAATCATTTGCTGTTCAAAATTAGTGAGGCTTGGTACCTTAATGCCATACTATTTATATTCTGAGACAAGAGAATATAATTTACCTTATTCCAAGGCAATTAAAATTTTACAGCTACAATTACTTATTTCCCCACAGGATTTTGGTAATCATCCTTCTCATATAATGGACTTAAGGCCCCAGCACACCCAACATGTCCTGCTTACTGCTAGATTCGTCAGGTCTGTAATTAATAATTGTGTTTAATGTTGATAAATAAAATTGTCAGTGCTCCTTCCACTAATTGGTATTCCAGATAACAGTTAATAGGTTTATTTATGCCTTAATAAAAGTCTTGTAATTTAGTTTTCCCTCTGCTAGGCAGGTCTTAATCTGTCATTACTTGTCTTATGATACTATCAGTGTAAGATGACAAGCATGGAAGAGCTTATTTACATTCAGTAGTACAGCAGATCTCCTGTTGCTGCAGTGAATTAAAATATTTACTTAAGAGTATAAACAGAAAAAAAATAACTATAGTTTTAAGTTAAGTCATTTCTTTTTATGCATTTTGAGGATAAAACCGAAGGTTCAAAGCAAACAAAACATGATTATTGATATTTTTAGATTACAATTCTCATCATAAAGAACTTATCACTTACACATGAGATGAAATTTATCTGTAAGCAAACAAAAAAAAAGCACATGATAATGTCGAATATTCTTTTTTCAGAGCCATTCACCTGTTTGGTTTCAAAATACCACCATTCCAATGATTCCAGTGCTTAACTGGAGTACCATTCTTGAGTACATGCTCTCAGTAACCCCAGCTAGTAGTAAATCTGTCTTTTCTTCATGTCTAACATAGCACCCTTTCTATTCATCTTTAAAGCTAAAAACCTTATCCAGCATTTTTATCTTGCACTTCAACTAACAAAACATCCTTTGAAATAAAAAAAATATTATTCTTCTCATACCCAGAAGAAACTGCTATTGTAATGCTCTGTCTACTTTGGCCAAGGCTCTTCTCTTTTCCTTATGTTGGTTCTCTATTACTGATCACATAAAAGATAAGCTACCTTCATTGTTTTAACTCTTATCACAGATTATCCTGTCCTACTTGTCTTTCAGTTTCAAAGACCATCTCCCTTCTCCAGTCATGATGCATTCACTAGTTTGAATGTTTAGTTAAATTAACCAGAAATTAAAACTAGAACATTTGTACTACTTTCCATGTAAGATGACACCAGAACCTTCTTAAAAACTCCTTTGTTGTGATTTTTGGTAAATATCAAAACATGGATACTGTCAATGAGCTACTGTTCCTTCATTTTTCCCAGCATTTCCACCTGCTATCACATTTTACATGAGACTGTCTGCCTGCCAGAAAACACAGTATTTCTCCAGATGTGCAGCACCTAGGATGGCAGTCCCTTTCCCTATGTCTAGAACGCCCAGTTTAACTGTATTAAAAATAAATTAATAATAATAGTGCAGGCAGTTGTGTTGTAGCATTCTGAAACAATCATTCCACTTCATAACCAGGATTCCTGTTATACAGTACAGTTCAACATTCACAACTTAAGGCATTTTCTTGTGATGGGGAATAAAGAAGCAAATCATCACCTCTCTTTTTTTTTTATGAAGAGCAGTTTGGAGTAAATACACAGAAATATGTTAACGCAAGTTAGTGACTGCTTTGAAAGACAAAATGAGAATATAATGCAATTCCACGAGGAATTGTATCTATAATGATTGGGAAGAGAATATACGGTTTAAGTATATACATTTTAAGTACCTGCTCATGAAGGATGAAGGAATTACAATAAAAGCATTAAATGATGTACAGTGTGATGTGTATAAGAAATTATTAACACAAATACAGGTATATCACAAAGAGCAATTAATTCTTACATTAAAAAATAAGAAAAAGACAATGAAAAGTGACAAATCTCACTTCACTGACAGATGAACAAAGAATTCTTGTTTACTCTGTTTTGGTGAAATAGAACAGTCAGCAGGATGAACTTAATAGTACTACACAGGACTAAAATTGTCATGCTAAGCTTCAAAAGCGTTGTGTATGTAAGAGTTGATGATATTAGTATTCAAAAAGCTTGACCTTTACTTTCTCTGGTTTACTGCAGTACAGATTCTGTTTAAACAACCTACAAAACTAACTTTATAAAAAACCAGACCAAACCAAATCAAACCAAAAAAACCCAACGTTTTAATGAACTTGTATTCAGATTGAAGCTAGGAGATCACTCCAAGACATACTGGAATGAGAACCAAACTAATAAATAGCGTGAAGGGAAATGATCATGAATGTCAAACCAAAACCACTTTTTTAAAAGTTAAAAGCTCAAGAAATGTGCCTCAAATCACCAGAGCGCACAAGCCCAAAAGTTCCAGTGTTACCAGAGGGATTTGGATTTGGTTTCTTTCAACTGTCTCAAATGGTTCCTCAGAACCATCTTTAAAAGTTATTTTTAAGACACCGAACCATTCCATAGAGTCACATAGCACCTTCTTGTGCCTACTATCTCCTGTGATGTACAGTGTAATCTGGAACTGACATTATTTCAAGATCTGAAGAGAGCAGATGCCTCTCAGATTGCCTATTTACATAAAAAAAATTTCAGAATCATTTAAGTCAGTTTGAAGGTTTAAATCCTATTTGAAATATGACTTACAGAACATAAAATAATTTCCTGAGTATGCAAGCTGTCTCTTCAATATATTCCTTCAGAGCCTTATCACTTCAATACTTCTGGAAATTTCATGTCCAACTTTAAATTATTTATTGCTATTTTTTGAATCAAAAGGTTCTTGGGAGACTTTTGATCTCATGAGTGACAGAATTCCAAGTAATACACGAGCAGTTAGATATTGAGGTTCTGTGAAAATGACTTTATTAGAATCATAGAATGTCCTGAGTTGGAAGGGACCCACAGGGATCATCGAATCCAACTCCTGTCCCTGCACAGGACAACCCCAAAATTCACACCGTACGTCTGAGGGTGTTGTCCAAATGCTTCTTGAATATTGTCAGGCTTGGTGCTCCGACTACCTCCCTGGGGAGCCTGTTTCAGTGCTCCACCACCCTCTGGGTGAAGAACCTTTTCCTAATGTCCAACCTAAACCTCCCCTGG